TTGGACAGTGTAAGATATGACAAAATAATAATTTATAAATTACCAAGGGTTCGTGAGAGAGTGGGGAGGGGGAGAAGGGACGGAGGGTAAAAATAAGGAGCTGATACCAAATGCTCAAGTAGAAAGCAAATGTTTTGAGAATGATGATGGCAACACAGGTACAGATGTGCTTGACACCATGGATGGATGGATGGATTGTGATAAGAGTTGTATGAGCCACCAGTAAAATGGTTTATAAAATATATATATCATTGATGGCTTGGAATTTGAGTTTATTTGATCCTTATTAAGGGTTGGACTGGCTCGAATGACCTTTTTGATTCACTTTATTATTTTTGTTCATTTCTTTCTCATGAGTACTATTCACATGTCGTTGCCTCTATTCGTTATCTTCAAAGAGAATTAAAAATGACAATATTTGTTCTTTAGGCAGCTCAGGCTCGTTTGAATTACCTCAGCCAGTTCGTTAAGAAAGGGCCCGATGCTGAGAGTGAGCATGTGGCTGAAACTCAAGGTAAGCCTCTAGAAGAAGGTCAGTACACCCTGGATCATGGCGATGTTCCTTCTCTCAACCCTTTTAAAAGATGGTCAGGAAGAAACTCTTAATTAAAAAACAGAGAGAGACAGAGAGAAGGAGGGCATTTCAGATTCTGTTTTCTTATAGAATGTTTTAAAAAAAGAAATTTGAGATAGAACTCTAAATAATTTCATTATCAAAGTACTTCCTCTTATATCTGCTGATTCAATTCTTACATGTGTCACACACCCCACCCCACCCCCGCCTCCCAAATAGCTACAATGGCCTCTTTTAAGAAAATCTAAATCCAGAGATGAGGGTATACCCTCATTAGAAATAGCAGTAAGCAAATTTGAAGGCAAACCTGCTACTAGAAATCTGATTCCTTTTCTAAAAGCAAGAGCAATAAATATAAGCATAGGCATTGTCCAGCCAACTCGTTTACCAAGTCAAGCCTTGGGTCAGTATTATCTTGTTAATTATCATTTAATATGGAGCCCTGATGGCATAGCCGTGACCTATTGGGCTGTGATCCCCAAAGTCAGCAGTTTGAAAACACCAGCCACTCCACTGGAGAAAGAGGGGGCTTTCTACTCCTTTAAAAAGAGTTACAGATTTGGAAACCCACAGGGGCAGTTCTACTCTGTCCTGTAGGGTGACCAGAACAGGAGTGGACTCAAGGGTAGTGTGAAAGTCACGAATGTCAATTGTGTAGTGCAATGCACTCCTACACTTGTAGACTCCCCGAAAGCACCGCTGAGGTGAGGTCAAGGGTTAAAGACTAACCACATCTGAGAAGTGCTTGTTCTCTTTCCCAGTCATCACCCACTTCAAGGTAGCCACTATCCTCACCCCATCACTAGCAGTCCTTCTGTCGAGTCTCCTCGCAAATTCCCCAGAGTTTTACTATCTAGGAATATGAATGTGCTCTCTGTGTCTTACTAGGGTCTCTTATGAGTTGGAGTGAACTTGATGGCAATGAGTCTTTCATGGGCTCTGTCTTCTTGTGATTACATTATATTGTACAAGAAACGTGCCCATTTTATCTAAGTTGTCAATCTTATTGGCACATGTCTATTTTTCTTAGCCAGTCTAGTTCTAGGTTTGTATCAGTTTTATTGACATCTTAAAAATGAAAACAATGACTTAAAGCTTCTGAATGTCAGTCTT